GCGAGGACAATACTTGTGCCCCTGAGAGCAAGGAAAGGATCTCGGATTGTCGGGGAATGGGAAACTCATCAGGTATTGTTACAGCATTCAGTTTCCGATAATCCACGCAGAATCTAGGTTTCCCGTTTCGGTAGGCTATGACCACAGGTGCGCTCCACGGACTTTTCGAGGGTTCAATGACATCCTGCTTGAACCACTTATCCATCTGCTCATCCATTACACAATGTTTCTCCGGAGAGCTTGCATACATCGGGACTGTGATTGGTACCTGTCCATCGACTGTCCTTATGTGCACCTTTGTTGGTAAGTGACCCAGCCGGCCGTCAAAACCGAATGCTTTCTGACGACGTCGAAGCATCTCCCAAGCGTGTTCCTTAAGGTGGTCAGGTAGAGAACCTACATCGATCAATTCTTCCATCTTTGAGGATGGATAGGTAGCCAGGTCAGGCATTGCTGCCGTTTTGGGTCCGTAGTCTTCCTCCTCGTTTACTTCGTCCTGCTTACTGACGTTTGGACCAGTATCCGACGTTTGTGTTTCATCTGCGGACATCTGGGCACCTATGATACCTGCTACTGTGAGGGCATGTGCTGCCAATGCTTCGTAACTCTCGGGGGTAGTCGGTGTGTCGAAGAACGTGGCTGGATCATGGAGAGTCCCTATAATTTCTCCTTTGCGTATATAGCGTGGCTGGTCTGTAGGATTAGCTATGGGAATCCATGGATTCCTTGACGAAATAAGAGTATTGGGGACAGTAAAGTATGAATCGTTTGCATTTGCTAGCAGATTCTTCTGAACAAGCCACTCCTTGTCTTCGTGCAAATGTCCCTCCACTCTAACTTTGCGGCATTGATGGGGTTTCAACAGGTAGTCTTCCGCCGCTCGAACCGTATGTTCCTCTATTCCGAACTTGATTTTGCGTCGAAGCCGTTTCGCTTTATTGCGTCGGTGGATTTTCGCGCGAGCGAACTTACTCACGAGAAGGGAACTCTGTCTCATTCTAGTGAAGTCAGGAGTCCTTTCTACCCTCGTTGCGGGAATTTCATGTGTGGTCCCCGCAAAGTTGATCTTAGTTCCTGTTTCCACATTTCTGGTTACTCCGACCTCATAATTCACTTGATAATCTTCCCCTAGTAGGATCGGGACTGTCATCCTGGGAACTACGTAAGCCTCTGCTTCTGATTCTATGATTTCCCCCATACTTGTCTCCATAAAAATTGGCACTCGCACGTATCCTTTCAGAGTTTCATCCTTATCGGTAAGCTGCCAGAGCTGCATCTTCATCCCTTGTTGTATCCGGGGGGCCCTCACTAGCGTCTTGTAGAACTCGTCAGATATTAGTGTAACGTCTGCGCAGGAATCGAGTCGCAAATTGACTCTGGGATTCTCGAGCCCAGCTACCCAACCCTTGGCGGAAAGAACCGAGACGCCAAGCGCGGATAACCCTGGTGGGGTCTGGCGCTTCTTGTGTAGACGGATAGGTTTTGAATCTGCGGGAGGGGGAGGCAGGTCCATTAGCTCTGGTTGGGCATTGACATTTTCCATTGTAGAGGCATGATGCGCTTCCCTTCGTCCAGATGGTACTGAAGCGTTTTCTATTGGCAGGTCCCCTTCCGCCTCGTCTTCTTCCTCCATGGGTATGAGCAGGTGTATGGGCGATTTGGGCTTTTCCAAATGTGCTAAGAGCTCTTCATCCACTACCTCCTCCATGGTTACCGACTTGCATGTTCGTTGTGATGTCGGAAGTTCGGTCTTGTCCGCCGTTCGTTCGCGAGGATCTTCTTGGTGGGTCAGGTGCTTACTGGGCTGGGGCCTAACCTTGACTGAATCTAATTCCGTCGCTTGCAGATCGTCAATGTGATACATCAGAAGGTTAGCACTACGTGGTCGCTCCTTTTCTTCGTGCCAAAACTCATCTTCTACCTCCTCCAATTCCAGTTTTGTTGGCTTTGGAGAGGTCCTGACGGACTTACATCCTTCTGTCGTTCGAAAGCTCGAACTCCTTGGGATTGCCGCGTCAAAATCCTGTTCTAATTTCGATTGATCGACTTGTATTGAGGCTACCCTCTGAGATAATAGGATACTGTAAGCGCTATGATAGTATTCCTCCGTCTCCTTCTCGGATTCGGTGGAATAACTCGACTTCGCTGACTTCGCCGTCTTTTCGAGGTACACTGCCGAGTCAGGGCACTCCTTGTCCCAGTGATATTCACTGCCGCAACATTTACATGGAGAGGGGGGTAGACGACCCATTTTTGTCATGACGTGGTCATTTTTAGGGAACATGTAGCCCCCGGGAGGAGGTGCGTGTTGTCTTCTTTTTAAAACTTGGAAGACTTCTGCTAAGATTGGATTTTGAGCGTCTTCTGCCTTTGCTAATACTTCCGATGAAAAGACTTCTTTTGCCTGATGATTTTGTGGTTCTGTGTTCAGTTCTCCTTCCGTAAGATGAACCCGTCTATCTTGTGGAAAGTTATAATGGAATTTAGGTTTCTCCAGGGCAAAGCCCATCTTCTTAAGAGTAGGGACTAGATTCTCGGCCGTAATCGCTGTAGCATTTTGATTCTTTGAAATTGCCAACAGAGAGTCCTCATGTTCGACGGCTTTTGTGTATAATAAAGACGAGGATTTGATGTTTTCGAGGACCAAGATCGTCCTCCATGCTAATGGCGCCCTGGCCATTACCAAATGTACTTCCAGGGGCCCTCCATCGTCCGACTTGGCTAACATTCTAGTGTACATTATCCGGCGAGCTATGAAAGTCTTTGGGAGTTCCTTTTCGTGCCCTGGCTGCCTGAAGTATTGCTGCTTGTATGCTTCTCCAATGTCAAACTGCCAGGTATGACCTAAGTACTTCTCTTTGATTCCTTTGAGGTAGTCCACCCAGTGACCCCTCATCCTCGATTGCTCGGCGAAAGACAATGTTGCAAACCAATTTTGGACATCCGATCCCTCTTTTAGCTTCAACCAGAGCCAATATCCTAAGGCTGAAGGGATGTACCCCCCTAGTGAAGCTTGCTGTTGGACTTTCCAAAAATATTCAATTGCCGTATTCGGATTACCGTCCCAGGTAGGCAAATCTTCCTGTTTCAGCTTACTGTCGATTGTGGGGGCAATTCGTCCACATGGAATCTCCACGCTATCCCTCGACCTTTCCTGATGTCGGCGCCTGGAATGTTTTGAACCACTAGTAGCTGCCATTTACATCATGTAAAACCTGGCATGTACCATAGAACTTCCTGCTTAGCTACCGTGAATGAAATGAAATGAATTTTCATTCATTCACGGCACCTGTTTCATTCCAAATCATTCTCATTCATTGCCGTCAAGAATGAAATACTTTTTGTTTCATTTCATTTTTTTCTTCATTTTTACTGACAAGAATGAAATTTATTCTGTTTCATTCATTCCTGGCGACTGTTTCATTTTTTCATTTCATTCTACCATGGCAACTGTTTCATTTTTTGCTTTATTATTCTGTTTCATTCATTCCTGGCAACTATCTCATTTTTCCATTTCATTCCACCATGGCAACTGTTTCATTTTTTGCTTTATTCTTCTGTTTCATTCATTCCTGGCGACTGTTTCATTTTTTTTTCATTCATTGCCATGGAATTTTCATTTCATTCTTTCCAGGCAGTTATTTCATTTTTGTTTCATTCTTTCAGGCAACAATTTCAATGTTTTAATACACATCTAAATAAGGAAATAATATACAATCATGCCTGATATGTGTTGTGCCCTACTGCAGTGGTGTGGGAGGCCATATGGGGGTACTTTTGCATTTGAGGCTCAAATACACAACAAGATAGACATGCTGTTGCCAAATAAGGCACTTAAATATTTTGTATCAATTACATAATCATTTTCCCAGCTCTAACAATGAAATAGGCACCTGAGAAGAATGAAGCAAGGAATGAAACAGTTGCCATGTTGGAATGAAATAAAAAAATGAAACAGTCGCCAGGAATGAATGAAACAGAATAAATTATCTAGAATGAAACAGGTGCTGTGAATGAATGAAAATTCATTTCATTTCATTCACGGTAGTTAAGCAGGAACTTCTATGGTACAGCTCAGGAGTACATGATGTAAGTGGTAGCTACCAGTCTTTGAACTAGACGAAGATGCCGTGTAAGTGCTGGAGCCCTCGTCGTCGCTTCCCCGACCACCATCGTCGTCGCCGTCGTCTGGATCCCCCCTTCGTCGACGACCACGAGGTTTGGGAGTGGATGAACTCCTTCGCTTAGGCCGCGGGGTTCTCGATCGCTTGCGACTCCTTCGACTCCTAGGAGGTCTCCCTCTATCTTCATCGCTACTGTCGGACGATTCAGGATCGGAGCCACCTGTATCCCGTCCCCGTTGCGGTTGGCGGGACTGGCTTCTCTGGCTACCCGAGCGCTTACTTGTACGAGACGCTGGTTTTACGGGGTCTTTTCTTGGTAAGTGAGGTGGTTCTTCTCTCCCCTCCCATTGCCTAATGTTACTAGTACTCGGCGGCAACGGTGTAGCTATCCCTACGAGTATGTTCGTGTCTAGCGTTGGCGGCTTCGAAGTCCCTGGTTGCTTCGACCTATTACTCTTCCCAGGTTCAACGAACCATGCATTCGCGCTTCTGAACGGAGTCTCCATTCCCATCCAGACTGACGTGCCTTGAGAGGGTAGCTTAGTCTCTTCACGGTCCTTCTCCTTTCCTTTGTCCTTCCTTTGCTTTGACTCCTCTTTACGGGTTTCTGGAACCGGTGAGCTTGGTCTGGATCTAGTTTCTGAGAACGCGTTTCTCAGTACCTCCGGCATTGGAAGGACTTCTAACCAGGACCGAGTTTTTTGTAGGGATTGGTATCCCTTCTCAGATAGCTGTTGCTTATGATGTGGAATTGTATTGTAAAGATACCTCAATTTACGGTCTGCATCCGTGATATCTTTCAAAGGGTCATAAAGTTCTTGCAGAGTTGACAATGGCGAAAGGACGGAGTCGCCTGCTTGGAGTTGGTACTCCGCGATGTACTTTTCCCAAGCCTTAACTCCTAGCTTAATCCTCGTTATAAGGGCCACCCAAGCTGCGTATAATTGGGGCAAGCTCGAGGTGCCTCGTAGGATTGGCATAAGCGTATCCTCTGGGTCTACTATGTAGTGGAACTTTCTTTCCATAACCAAGGCAGCGGCTTGTTGCAGAAAAATCTGTTGTGCTGTAACGGCAGTACTAACGTTGTTTAATGTAGCTTTTGCCAAGTGGTATCGGGGTAGGTTCTATCCCTATTATTGCCTCTATCTATGATTAAGTCCGGAGTCAGCTCCTCTAGACTTAGTACCAACGAAATACTCGTTTCCGTTGGGCCCAATTGTGATTCTATCGACGCTGATGAGTATTCTTGAATCAGCTGGGCCATGGGGGATTTCTCGAACCCTTCCTCCATACCGAGTCTCTGTGGGGCTGACGGCTCGTTCTCCGTTTCTGTTATCGAGGGCATGTCAAACTGCCTCGGGTGTGAGTCACTCGATTCTACGTTCCTGACGTTGGGTGTGAATTCACCACTGCTGTGAACGTTTGTGGCCGAGGTAGTAGCTTGAGTGGGGGCGGCGAAGGTGAGGGCGTATAAGGGGGTGTTGGGGGTGTTGTTGAATGATTCGACGCTACACAGAGTGAGGGATGTTTTTGATCGAAAGGTGGTTGATCGTGATAACGCTTCAATGTGCGCTTTCTTGTGTGATACCGACGCTATCTCCTGGGCAACGGTTTTGGGAGTCCCGGAATTGGATGAGGCGAGTCTGTGATCGGGCACCTTCTTTTTCGGTGAAGCCGAGCGCGAAGTCGATCGGGATGGGTTGACTGCTGGAGCCTCCCTCGCGGAAGATGCCCTGTTAAAGGAATACGAGGGCCTGGTCACGTTGACGCCTCGAGTTCTCGCTCTAGAGGGCGGGGCAAATTTCTCGGGATCGTTGAAGGTTTGAAAAGACTGATCTTGAGCTGAGTTGGCCAGGGCAAGTTGATTTCCCACAGTGTCCACCTTTGAAGCAGGTGTTCCGTGAGTAATGAGTTCAAATAGGAATGCTCACCAACTCTGCGTATCCCAATGGTCTCTTATCGCGCAGATCAGATAACGATGTCAAAGGTGTGTGTATCCTCTCCTACCCAGGAGACGGTCTACGGGCGCACTCAAGCAAGGATTGATGTTACTACGGAAATCCGAAGCTACAATCCCAGCAACTTTCCGGGAAATCCACGGAAAGCTGAGTGACGGACTTAAGGAAAAGTGATGGGGTTGCTATTCGATGACCTAACAATTCCTCTTTACAAGAGAATAGTTAGCAATCAACTCAAAACAATGCTACTTGCCTTAGACAGTGGAAGTACGATAGAACGCCTCTTCCGAATGCTAGTTGCAGTGGTAATAAGAGTAAAGAATCGATTGTTGTTACTACTGAACAACATGTGAGTTACTCAAGTGACACGTGACTATATAATAATGTGATGCGAAGAGGTTCTGTCAGCAGAAAGTAAGTACAGTGTTTTGCATGTGAGATTGGAATCCAAATCTCACGAAAACTTGTTTGTTCTTGTAATGTGTGACATTGCCCTTCAGTGTCACAGCGAATTGATTGAACGTTGAATGTTGACTCCCACCATTGATCCCCCAACGCTGAGCGCTCGAACTCTGAAGGCATGCCAATGGCCCCTCCACCACCCCACACCAAACACCTTCCCCCCCAGCTCGACGCCAGCCCGCCCTAATCTCACTCTGCTTCTCATGTGAAACAACAAGCCACAAAGGACCCAAATGCCGTACATCGCAAGGTCGCTTTCCACCTGCGTGGACTAGAAAACTACCCGGATTTCAATTGCCCACAGAGAATGTATGTCTTGAAGGTGTTTCATGGGGTTCACGTTCTCATACTAAAATTCTCGTTCTAGATATATTCGATTTACTCAGCAGTTGGAATAACTCGATTCATGGTATGCGGGCAACAGGGTCTTCGTGATCCCAATATAAGTAGGTCTCGAGAACACTTCGCGAGGCTCACCGGCTCAATCTAGTCTGCTTTAGGCCAAGGATTAGAATGGACGGCACTTGCAGGGCAGTGCAATATGTGGAAACCACGCTCGTCTCACACTTGTTTTTGGGGTTGGAAGCTAGAGCGCTACATTGGAATTCCTATATAGTAGGTGCCCTCTCTTGATCTACTCCAACTTGACCGTTCTCAGCCACAAACGCAGAAGACCATCAACCCCAACAAGCCATGTCCAACAAAGAGAATGCCGCACCTGTCGGCCCTCCTATCTCTCCCTTTGCTACCTCACCCCGTCGCCCGTCGGAATTTTGGTTGAAGAACCCAGCTTGGATCGGTGAGGAACATCTTTATCTCTTTGACGTTATTCGCACTAATCACACTTCGTTTCAAATAGATGGTGCCATCGACCCTCCTCACTTTTATGGAAGCCACGAGGAAATCGAAGCCGCTCTACATGCAGCAGGTGTTTCTTCGAACGCATATGTGGATCAACAAGCTGCGCTTTCAACACCCACCCCGAACCATTACGCAAACATCAAGTCACACGCCCAAGCTCTCGGGGAAGGAAGAGACATTGTCAACCCCACAAGCAGCACTAGTAAGTCCCCGTAGTTTTATCACTATGACCATGCTTGTTAATGCTCTCAATCAGGCCCCGGCCATCTCATATCAGTTGGAATGGTCTACTCCCTCGCGGCGGCACCTGGTCCTGGTGGGCGTGCCTCAAAGGGACTTGTGAAACAGAAGCCGACAATGAAGATGACCAAGCTTGTCCTCGATAAAATCACTTGTGCAGACTTCATCAAAGCCTTCCTTGCTACTCACAATATGTCTGACAAGTACAGCCCCGGGGTCCACTCTGGACCTGACTTCAAATTGTGGTGGTCAGGCTCGCTGTATGTTCTTTTTCTCGTTCTAAAAGTTGTCTCCTCATTTATTTGCAGTGGTGCCAAATCTGGGGCAGCAACTATCCAGACGGACAAGGACTTCTATGTTGCACTAGAACATCTCCTCTCCAAACCTAAGGGCAAATGCACGGTATCAGTTGAGTTTGACCTCGATAACATGATGGGGTTCCGCATCCAGCAACCAGTAAGACATGCCTTTCTTGTCTTCGCACATCTTCTATCTTTCTGATATTGTTTCATCATTAGCTCCCCTTGGCTGCAGTGAACCCTAACACCAAGACTGCGGATGGGGAGCTTGTATATGGAACCAAGGTAAGTCATGTGCTCGTTTCCAAACCTTTGAGTGCTCACGCGCTCATGGTTGATAGGTTCCTCAACTTGGTGGTTTTAGCGAGGTGACGCAGCTGCATGGATCCATCATCATGGAGTTGAAGGCAACATGGCCTTGTTCAACGCACCTCAACGAACATGGTGGCGCTGGCTTCTGTTATGTCTCAAACACATCCGAGCATGTCCTACTGAATGCCAGGAGGTTGAAGGCATGGGCAGCCACTATCGTATGTTTGTTTCTCTATGACATCTTTGCTTGCACTCAACGCATTCTTTCAGGCTGCACATGTTGCAACAAAACTTGTTCCCCCCAACATTTCCGAGTTTGATGGTAGTCGTGATGGACGTCTACCTGGACCTAGGCCTCGAGGCCATGCAGGGCCAGGGCTATCTGCCGCCACTCCTAGTAATCAGCAACTTGGTGACATGATGCAAATCATATCGGGGCTGCTTCCCCTCCTTGGGGGGATGTCTTGAAAGCGTGCGCGCTCTGAGTCATCATCTCCCATACGCCGCAACCCTGTCACTCCCGTTCGCAAGGCACCCATGTCCCTTCCCCTTTCTCCCATCCCCACGGCCAACTCTGAGCTTCGATCTTGCCTCAGTGACTTTGCTGAGGCCAAAGGCATTGATCTGACTGCATGTGAAGAAGCTCTGACCGCCCTTGATCTAACCCCAGATATCATCCCTGACGTACCTGTCCAACGTCTATGTGATATTACTCATGCGACGGAAGGCCAGATCCTCAAACTCCATGTCTTTTGCCGTGGGTGGAATGCTCGTCTTGAGGAGAAGAAGGAAAAGCGGCGCCGCATTGATCTTTGATATTCTATTTACATAACCAACACTGTTCCAGTTGTATATATTGTATTCTGTTACAAGTAATAATTGTCAGAGAATGAATATCCACAGTTTTCGATCCACCCTTCTGCCATTTCTGGTTCAACAAAGAGTACAGCCTGTTGAATAAGCCAGGGTCTGACTTCAGCATTGATAGCATCAGCCTCATGGCGACGGAGCCATGCCTTAATAGTATGAAAAGCTTGTTCAATAGGATTGTAGTCGGGAGAGTAAGGTGGGAGATATACAAGTCTGGCACCTTCAGCAGATGAGCATTTATTTGAAGAGAAGAGCTACAAGACTGTAACTTACCACATTCATCCTCAATGATACGTCGAATTTCTTCATCATGATGTATCGCACAGTTGTCCACAACTACAACACTACGCGGTGCAGGAAATGGGTTTAGCTGTGGTGCCTAAAAGAAAAATAAGTTGTGAAGGCAAAAGGAGAAGTGAAATGGCATACAAGTTGCTGATCAATAAATTGGATAAACTTTTCCTTGTTTACAGATCCCTCGAAGATGTCAAGGGCAATGATCCCTTTGTGTGTCAGGGCAGGCAAAACTGAAAACCGCTGCCCACGAATGAATGTCGCACAAGAGATGCATGCCCTCCCAACAGCCGCCCAACCATCTCTACGTTGGTTTGTTTGGTCATCAACACTAGCTTCGTCCAGCCAGACGAAATACTCCGCAGGGATGTCGCCATATTCAGCTTGCCAAGTTGCACACAAGAGCTCATTCCGCTCAAGGGCTTCATGTGAGACCTTCTTTCGGCTGATCGCAAGCTGCTGAAGAGCACGAGAAATGGTAGAGATTGAAACTTCAATGTTTCGGTGGAGGAGAAGCTCTTGCTGAAGTTCATCAAGGTAGATTTTGGGACGAGCATCTATGATAGAGGCTAGATAGTTCACATCCCCCATGTCAAGGGTGCGTAAACCCCCACGTGGACCTGCAAATGGATTGTCAACAGTCCCATAATCCCGATGAAACTTCAAGATGTTGTAGACTGTAGCAAGGCTGCAGCCAGCCAGAGTCTGAATATCAGAAGCAGAGATATGTTGCTCATGATGCCAAACTATGATGCGTTGTCTCATTTCGTTTGAAAGCATTGGAGCCATTATTGCGAAGGTACATAGGACTACACAATTGCCAGATCTGAACCCTGCAGCGTGACATCAATCACGGACCACAAGAACAAACAAGTTTTCGTGAGATTTGGATTCCAATCTCACATGCAAAACACTGTAAATGAATATATACCGGGAATAAGGGAGTTGAATCCCTTGTTACAGGAGTCGAAGTCAACGATAAATGAAGATACAAGCGAGGGCCCTTCACCGTGGCCTGTCACCGTTGACGATGTCGTTCCTTGGTCCTCTGGAAAGCTACGACAACGGGAGTTAGAGACGAGAGATTCTAGCTACACGGATAGTCACGACAACGAGGTGGAGATTGTGATTGAGGATGTGGACGTTAGAGGCGAGGGCTACACAACAATACCATTTCCTTTGACATCAAGTGCGTCTCTACAGTTCCATCGAGAATGTGGAAACTCACGTCGTTCCTCATAGCTACCATGGCGCTGTCCAAACCTCTGACACCTTGCACTTGAAATTCCAAACGACATGCTCATAATCGACACATCCGTCTACGAACGCATTCTCTACAAAATGGGACATACAGTCATTCACCGGTCAATGAGTCACACTAGTCAATGAGTCAAAACACTTTTCCGGGGTCAGTTCTCAAGCTATTTCTTTAATTTTTTTTGCATTGTGTGCGGATATATATTCTTCATAGTAATCCCAAGTTTCTAAGGTGTAGCATATTTCGATCTCTTGATACCTGTAAATAGGTGCTCATTCACCATAAAACTGAATATATATCTGTGTGATCTTGGCACTAAATCTTGGAAAAGAGCCTTTTTAAAAAAATTATATCTTATAGCATTCAACAAGTATTCAATTACAAGAGTTTTGAGTTGAGCTGGTACTCCAGTGAACCAAAAACCACTGAATGAATGAAATCATACTTGAAGGTAGGGAAAGTCACATTCTGTCACACTTGCCACAGACGTCTGACGAAGAGATGGGAAACTGAAGTGACTAAGCAAAATGCCCAAACTAGGGCAGCGTGACATCTGCCTCATTGACTGGTTTCGCACTGATCTTCGTTTGCGGCACTGATAGCATGCGATATGTTGTTCAACAACTTGAATTTGAGTTTGTAACTAGATATTACATAGGGCATGATGTATGGGCATACTTCTCTCAGTTCATAATGTTCATATCCCTCGTATTTAAAATCTCCAAGGCCATTCTTTATTTGGGTGCCTCATTGACTGGTGAATGACTGTAGAGGGATCATGCCCGATCGATCCTAACACTGGGAAACCTCGAAAAAGGAATGACGCTCACGCTCGAGAATCTGCTGTTGTCGTTACGATACCCGTTCTGCAAGCTTCATTGCCGCCGCCTTCGTTGCCTGCCATGGGTATGGAGGAGCAAACACAGACGATGTCGACGCCTCTCCGGCTCAAACTCAACAACAGCAACCGCAGATCGCACAGCTCCCCATCGTCCTCCCTCCACAACACTGGTAATGACGCCATGCCTAGTCTGTTTGCGCTGCGAAAGTTGTTGGAGCCTGCTGCGACGAGTGTACTGAGTGTGAGGAAGGGGAGGGTTGGAAGGCCAGTTGCTGGTCAACAACAGCAACAACAGGAAATTGAGGAGGAAGGAGGCGTTGCAAGATAAGAGAGATCGAATCCGTATGGGATTGTTTCCTGCTGATCCCCCCAAACGTAAGCATCTGTTTGCGATTGACAGACAACCTAGTCACCACGTTGTTCCATCTACAGTGCAGCAGGCCAATCTCATGAAAGTTCTAACGTCGGATGCCCTCCAAGACCCGACCCCGGTTGAGGCTCGTGTGAGACGTGAAGTAGCACAGCGCAAACTCGGGCATGAAAAAATGAACGCTGAACGCAAGTTGACGGATGAGCAACGTCGCGAAAAGCATGAGGCGAAGAAGGCAGACGAAGAAAAGAAGGGTATTTATGGTTAGTGATCTGCAAGGGTTTGTCAACCCTCCAAGGGTCAGGGGTAAGGGTCAGGAGGGTAAGGGTCAGGGTAAGGATTTTGTGACCCTCAACAAACCCTTGACCCTTCTGAAGGGTCAGGGGTTTTTCAGGGGTTTTTCAGGGGTTTTCATTTCTCTAATATCAAGGTAAGTACTCCAGAAAAAATGATTTTAAATAAAATTGAATCAGATAAAATATCATCCAAAGAGGCCTCACTACCTTTGCAACAATTAGTATTGTTCAGAATACACTGAATTCTTCAATAATTTACTAAAAACCATGTGTACTGTCATAAATATACTTGAATGATGTGTATTTCAAAGACATCTTGCTATTTATTTACTATCTATAAAACTTGAGCAGTTATTTGCTCCAAACCCTTGTCCAAACCCTGCTGGGGTTTCTTACCCTCCAACCCCTGAGATACCCTTACCCTTACCCTTCAAAACCCTTGACCCCAGCCAAGGGTCAAGGGTTTTGAAGGGTAAGGGTCAGGGTCAGCCTGAGTTGACCCCAGGGTTACCCCTGCTCATCACTATTTATGGTGCGGTGTACAAGTACGTTCTCTTCTTTTCCACATCACAGACGACTGAAGCTTCGTCATTCCAGGGTCAAGATTTTGAGCGACCCCGCACACCAGTTCAAGGTTCGGAAGAACTCGGAATAGTTGAACCTCACTGGAGTCTGCGTCTTCAATCCTCATTTCAGGATGGTCTACGTGGAAGGCGCAGCCAAAGTTATGCGGAACTACAGGCGGCTCATGATGACGCGCATTGCTTGGTCCGAGGCTGCACGTTCCCGGGGCGGGGAGGACGTGGAATGGAAGAACCCCGATTCAGATGTCGAGGGGGAGGCTGGTGCAAGCACCTCCGCTGTTGCTGCGAAAGGAACGGCTACTGATGACGCGCAGTCTTTGGAGGATAACTAGTGCTATCTCGTTTGGGAAGGTATGCTGAGGAATCGGATGTACAACAATTTCAAGGCGAAGAGTAACTACAAAATACAACGATCTCTCAAAACTGAGTATTTGGGTTACAAAAAAGAGCTCCCTTCACATCCTTAAGCTTTTAAACCATCCTACGTTTCTTATCGTTCTTTAGCAATGGCTGTGCACGTGTTGCCGACATTTTTTTCGGTGCTGGTAGAACCCCGATGTTACTCATTGCCTTATTAAATTTGGCACGGACACGGCCAAAGGTGGCAGGAGGTGAGGGAGAGAGGGTTGTGATATCGAGGAGAGGGAGACCATTGGAGGTGTCAAAGCGTACAAGTTGTTTGGCCAAATCATTCTCTAGTCCCAATCTTAGTACTGAGTGGCTGGCGTTAGAAATTGAGACCCACCAATGATGTAAAATGACGCCCCTTGCTGGATTCCGATTTCCACAAGCTGCATCGGTTCCAACTCAAACTCTGCGAGGGTAATTCCTCCAAAGAACGCCTGTTCAACATAATTTCCACCCTCTCTCTCAATACCCCCAATTTGTGGACTGTCACACACACCCCTGCCATACCAAACTAGTGCACTGTGAGCAAGTTCATGCAGAAAAATCGCAATGAACATTAGCGAGAGCCGTGCTGGCCCAACTGTAATGGGGGTATTTACCTGTGATATAGATTTAGTGAGAAGTACACACTATCCATCCAATGTACTCACAATTTGCAGCCACAGCAGTACAAGCTTGCCGTTGATCGTTATCTTCTGACTGTCAGCCTCTTCTCTTCCACTCATTGTCTCTACCCAGCTGACACCTTCTGGCCCAAAATCACCATGAGCGAGATATAAATCGGGAAAGGCGTTTGTGAGGAATTCGACCACATCAGCATCGGTAGGGGGATGCTCTCGGATTCTTCTGATTTTGACCAGATTTGAGACCCGGTCGGCGACAGGAGTGCAAGGTGCCAAGTCGCGAGGAAACTCGCTATCATCGTTATAACAGTTCGTAAAAATGTGGAGGAAAGGGACACGGAGAACTTGTTCTTTAAGAAGGCGATCCCGAAGGTGGTTTACTGTGTGCATGACCAGTTCATATGAAGGGTTATGAGTTACTTCATATGTAGTAATTTCGTCACTTGCGCCAAAGAAGAGGGTGAACGGTTTCATGACTGCGTGGTTGCGTGTGTAGAGTTGAAAGGAGCGACGTCGCTCGTCATGTCACCGAAGTAACACTGGTCACGTTAAAAACACCTGACCTGCACTTTACTAACTTTCTGCTCATTCATTCAAAGTAAAGCTGCTGCGATATTGTTTCTATTATGCAGCGGTCAAGAGCAGCTATTACATATGTGCCAACTCAATATCGAATTCAGTCCCAAAAGGAAATTATAAGATGGGAGTTTTATAACTGGGTTAATGAACGTTCTCTGGAGTGCCCGAGACTAATCAAAACAGCTCCTCTTCTTCAGCCTTCCAATTCTTAGCCATATCCCAATACCCCTTCAACCTGTCACCCAACAACTCCTTCGCATCCCTATCTGTGGGGCAGCTCTTCGCCTTGAAATTGTTGTACACCCGATCCCTCAGCATACCTTCCCAAACGAGATAGCACTTGTTATCCTCCAAAGACCGCGCGCCGTCAGTAGCCGTTCCTTTCGCAGCAACAGCGGAGGTGCTTGCACCAGCCTCCCCCTCGACATCTGAATCGGGGTTCTCCAATTCCGCGTCCTCCCCGGGCGTGCAGCCTCGGACCAGGCGATGCGCGTCATCATTAGCCGCCTGTAGTTCCGCATGAATTTGGCTGCGCCCTCCACGTAGACCATGCTGAAATGAGGGTTGAAAATGCAGACTCCAGTGAGGTTCAGCTGTTCCGCGTTCTTCCGGACCTTGAACTGGTGTGCGGGGTCGCTCAGAATCTTGACCCTAGAAGGACAAAGCTTCAGTTATCTGTGATGAAGGGGGAGAAGAAGAACGTACTTGTACACCGCACCATAAATATCCTTCTTTTCTTCGTCTGCCTTCTTCGCCTCAAGCTTCTCGCGACGTTGCTCATCAGTCAACTTGCGTTCAGCGTTCATTTTTTCATGTCCGTGTTTGCGCTGTGCTACTTCACGTCTCACACGAGCTTCGACTCGGGTCGGGTCTTGGACGGCATCCGACGTTAGAACTTTCATAAGATTGGCCAGTCGCACTGTAGATAGAAGGAATGTGGTGAGTAGGTTCTTTGCCAATCACAAACAGATGCTTACCTTTGGGGGCATCAGGAGGTAACAGTCCCATTCGAATCCGATCTCTCTTATCTTGCAAAGCCTCCTTCCTCCTCAATTTCCTCATCTTCTTTTGCTCCTGTAAACGGGATATCTATTAGAATTGGAAGAAACAGTGGCTGGGCAGATCGTACCTTCTTAGTCAACATCATAGGCTTCAACGCTATCTTGTTCTTCTCCCCAGGAGCAGGAATGGGAATGGGATGCTGGATGTATATTGTGATAGGAGAATCCGACGTCCTAATATTGAGTTGTTCGAAACCAAACATCTCAATATCATGATAGCTCTTGGTTGGGAGCAACGCTGCATCCCACCACTCAGCGGCAGGTGGTGCAGCACGCTATTCGTTGCTTTATTATCGTAGATAAGACAACAAAGGGGAACAAACACACCTTGATCGTCTTCTCGATACCCATGTCGCCATCCAATCCAGCCTTACGTGCGCTGTCGGCAATACGCTGCTTCAATGCCTCAAGCTGCGCCTCCTGCCTTTGTTGATTCGCCAAGGCCACATACTTTCCCTTCGGATTGAAACGGAACGATCGACTAACTCTTTCTCGAGGTGCGCCGTCGAATCCGGTGGCTCCTTGCCCGTCCTTTCCGGCGACGCTATATGGATTGGCAGCAGGACTCGGAGTTGCTATTGGAGGCAGGGGAGGCGTTGGTGTGGGCACATTTCGAACATTTGCCTGCGAATAGCTTAGTCGGTCGGCAGTGATGAAAAACTGAACAAACAAACCTTGATAGAGGCAAACTTGGGCTGCATCGGTTTGTATCTGTCCTTTTTTGACTGGGGTACGGTTGGGGTGTGGTCAAGCAATAGCGGATGAGCCGCCATTTTTAAGCCAGCTCCCTGTTGGGTCTGTTCGACTGGAGTGCCTTTCTTCTTCCCAGTCTGAGGCATTGACTGCAAGACTCACTGTGAACACAAAATTAGGTATAAAAGTAAGAGACACACCATATACGGGTTATCTTTGATAGCAAGCTTGCTTTGTGCTTCAGCAACACGGCGCTTGGCCTCTGCCACACGCCGCGCAAGGTCATCTGGTGTTCCAGAACCGGATGCAGGAGTCGCTGGCGTCGGACCGCTTGATACAGTCGGAGACGGAGTGACGTTGAACACCACTTTCGATGGGAGTGACGCTGGAAGAATGGGGACTTTGGGTGTGGGTGCAGCAATCCCTGTGGTCGCCCTGGTCGCGGGAGCTGCAGCGACGAGAGGTACGAGAGGTTTTTTCATGGCAGCAAGCTTAGCCGCAATTTCAGCTCGCTTTTGAGCGATAATGTCTGTGCCAGTTAACTTGAATGGATCGCACATGAGCTGGTGAGACGCCAGTAAGGCAAGGGAATGTACTCACACCGGAAGAAGATCCTCCTGCTCCATTACTGGTGATATTCTGGTAGGAAAGAAGGTTATAGAAACATATCAGAGGTGGTTTGACAAGGAGGGAATTCACCTTTCAAAACGGGTGTAGGGTGCAGAAAATTGTACTCACATCACTGTTAAAAGCAAAAGTACAAGTTAGCTTCATTCTTTCGTAGAAAAAGTGAATCGAAAGTTAGAGCGGAACTGACCTTTTGAGCTTCTTGTTCCTCTGGTCACTAAAAGTGGGAGATAGTGGTTTGTACAAGATATAGTGTTTAGGATAGGGTACGTACTTGAGCCGCCGTACCGCCAAGATTGTGTCTCGATCGTGGAGATCCCCAATGGAGACCGAGCGGTAGCGTTCTTCCATCGCCAGAGCAGAAAGTGGCCTGTTTATGCCATATAGCTTTTTGACGTCTTCGGAAGACAAAAAACTGGCGATAATTTGCCACACTTCAAGTGGAACCTCTGCCACGCTATGTCGCGTTTGCGTAGACATCGACACATACATGAGCTGCAATATTCGAGTTGTGGTAGAACCAAGGTAGAACGGTTTCGCTTCAGAGTCACTTGCCCGTGACCAATTGTGACAGCTCTCCTTTCAACCACCCACTGGCATGGTGGCATTGAATATTCAATGCCATTCATCTTGCGACCAGCAGACGCGCCTTGGACGCGCGTCTGCTGGAACGCGCCATAGCGTAGCTGAAGTACCACGGAATGTGGCGAATTATTTCGAGTTTTTGTCTCCAAGGCGTCTATTGCATCCACTTGAATAGATCACTTTCTGCCACTTGCCATCGCACAGAACGCTACGGCTTTCGCATCTCCCGATGGTTGAGGAGCTTCAGCGGCTAGCGCACGCACATACGCTTGCCTTCTCAATTTGTTTTGTTTTGAACATACTGCCAATCTTCCTTTGCTAGGGACCACAGGAAGACGGGTCAGAGTTGCAAGGGTACGTTCTTGTTCAAAAAGCGCAGTCTTGGCCCTATGTCACTTAGCTGACTTCCTCTCAAGTTTGATCCCCACGTAAGGCCACGTTTCCATGCAGCGTTCACTTGGGCGTTGTGAGGCTTGTCTTCATTTTGACCTTTGCTTTCCTTGTCGATCTCTACCGTCGCTCAGACTCAACTCAGACTTGTTGTCAGCTACCACATCGTGAACTCTCAAGCCAGTCAGACTACCCATGATCTCTTCGAGTATTCACCTAGACGCTGGCTGTAAGTCTTATGCATGTCATTCTCCAGCACATGTGTCTAACTTGTAATCTCAGCCGTCAACAACGACTTTCGCCTTGGAGAGCGCAACGGCGGCGTCGTGACATCAACCTCAGGCTCGCGCCAACATCACAATCTGAAGATGTATTCACAAGAGCGGAAAGCAAGTATATGAAATACAACAATATTCTACCAGAGAACCTATAGAAAGAAAGAAGACGAAGATGAAAACGTGCTCTAAAGATACAACATTCAACGAAACCAGCAAACGAAGTAAGAGGAAATGACAAGGGGGGTGGCATATTGGCGGCAGAAGGTTGCATAGGGCATAATCATATAGGCATATGTGGCATGGGGTTTCTTTTGAGTGATTCATGTTCTTGAGCGCTCACAGCTGTTTTCAGGGAAAATCTCGAAAATCTCCGTGGGGTGCGATCTCAACGCGTTGCTTGGATTTTCGATCCACTCAGGGGGGATTACGGGCAATGGGGGTGCACCACCTCGGAAAGTATCGTGGTCTATGATCTCGGTGTCCTGCCTTGACAAGGGCTTACGGGGGGAAATGTCCATCGCGTCTGGCTCGCTGCCGGAGCCTGACACGACGACTTTCTGGTTTTTGGCTTTGGGTGGTGTTTGTGGCAACTCCATCCAATCTTCGCTGTCCAGCGGCTTCATAAGACTGTTATCACGGCGCTCCTTGGCCTGCATGAGCAGCCGGTATTCACGCTCGAAGAGTTGTTCCTCTGTCAAGCGCTCAGACCTCTTCATAAATCTGTGGGTCATTGGTATAAATTCGCCTGCCTCGGAGCCCTCCACCCACGCCTGGAAGGAAGTGTGTGTTTGATTTTTGCCGGGCGTTACAGGTTGTTTGGTTGGAACCCGGCCCCGACTTGGGGTGTAGGGCGTGGCTTTTTTCTTTTTCACTTTGGTCGGGCCATGGTTGCGGACGGGGGTGACGGGTGTAGGTTGGTCACATTTTTTCGACGATGGAACGTATCGGACGAGTGCGTGGTATGGGGGTGGGGTAGTGGGTCGGTCAAGGGATTCGAATGATGAGTTGGCTGATGACAATGAATCGTAGGGGTCGTCGCTGTAAGAGAGCTCAGGAACGGGTTCTTCGTATATCCGTTGGAGGGACGTCCGCTTTGATGGAGTTCGGGTGACGTTCTCCGCCTCTGCATCGTTTTCCATGGCGGCTTGTTGTATCGTGCCAGTGGCTTCTAGATGATTCTCTTGCTGATCGGTGTGGGCGAGTGGACTTGATGATGACTCCATGCCCTTTGGTGACCTTCATATAGCTGGCCAAGTGTCTAGATATGGCCTCTCTTTGTGGACAGAACGCACTCGCTTTGTCGTCGCATGCGCAATACTCTTTGTTGGCGTGAGCCACTCGTAACTGCCCATTTCGGGAAAGTCAACGCACCCTAGGCCGCAGGAAGTTTCCAAGTTCTCTTTGTGTCCCCATCGGGTAGCTCCGAGGCTTTGTGGCATTGTTTCACGATTGCAAGCAAAGGCGCGTTGACTGCTCCCTGACAACGCCGGTCTTTCTGGCCACATTGCTATGGCCACACCTTTGAATGTTCGGCCTTGCGTATCATGAAATCGGATGTGGACCCATTCTTTTGGCCACTGAAGGCCACTTCGATCCTGGTAGCAAGCCACTCGGAAGCAGGTCCTGAATGGGGATTCGGACATCTTAGATCGGAAAACAAACGCTTCGCACCATAGCACATCGGGTTCAGACAAGAATGTGATACCGTCAGCGGCTCCCTCATTATGATTATCGAACAACTGTTTTTTACATCTGAGTAAAACGAATGAATACATATATAGAGCAACCGACGAAAACGAAGTAAACAGGCTGAAAAAAAAAATGATAAAAACGATAAAAATGACGTGATATGACTTGGAACCCCTTCACGGACGAGTTTTGGTATCGACGTCCATCCAGCTTTTGACCAAGGTCTTGCGAAGGCCGTGAATGCCCACAGGACCCACCGCGTTGGACACGTCATATTCTGTGTTGCCGGACACCAAGTCTGCTGCGCTCCTGCGATCTGCGGGTGCGAATGGTTGATTTCTACGCGCAGAGGGATCAGGTGCGGGCCAAGAAGAGAAGAGGTGAGGTATGATGGACATACGTTGCATTGAAGACGAAGTCCCTAGGTTCGGGGTTCGGGTGCTACATGGTCCAACGGGGGTTTAGTTTTCATTCCGGTGATCGAAGATAGTCTTACAGCGGTGATCTCGTGCAGCTCGCGCTGGATTGAGAGGCAGAAGTTGTCAAGGTCTAGAAGAATGGTAAGCAAACCTCGCAAGGGGAGCAAAATGTAGGGAGACAGCTAACCGAGATCATTTAGGTCATAGTTGAAAGGGTTTTCGCTGGAGTTGTCGTTCAGCGGATGGTTGAAGGTTAGGCAAGAGGCTCCTACATTTCTTGTCCGATCTCGAGGAATCCTAGGTACAAGAATGAAGCGAACGCCGTGCCTGGAATGGTGAGGTACCCGAAGGCATTGTAAACTTGGAACTGTAGTTGACTGAGCAACCCGTTGGTCTTTAGTAGGATATCCACTCACTGGCAAGAGGAACAGATAAAGCCTATTTGAAAGCGAGTGAGATAGTTTGGTGAGTGAAACGTAGTCGCCACGTACCACAACGACATCCTCAGATGTATTTGGTATGCAAACGGCAACGGGGTATTGCAGATCCGTTCCAAGTTCGATAGAGCGTCTTGAAGGGTGTTGAGGTTCGTCATGAAACCAGTTGCAGATGCTGGCTGCAGCAAACCACTCCTAAGAAGGACTATCATGCATCATTTAGCGTTCAAGCCGTGTTCTGAGTGTTCAGCAGTTTCTCACATGCGAAGTAGCTGGGGTAAAGACAGATTAGCGCGGAACCTCTCGATTAACAGACCTACCCTTGAAGAATCAAGGAAATCTCGAGAGGAACACTACTCTCAACGATCTCCGAGAATGGATTCTTCTTCCTCCGCCTTTGCATGCCAGGGTGCGCCTTGCGAAGAATAGTGTGTACAACCCATTTGAAGAACCTTAATAAAGGAATGTAATCGTACACAGTCATCGGTGGGGGCATGTGTGCAGGCTTGAGCGTTCGTTCACAGTGAACGTAGGGCAAGACACTCTCAGGATCGAATTTACGGTGTTTCCCGCCGCGATTGCGCGAGAACCAGCCTTGGTCAGATGCCGTGTCGGTGTTCTTCTCATCAGTGGAGCTGAACTGTTTGGTGTGGTTTTCTTTTTGCTTCTCCTCGCCATTGCAGGGTTGTTCTCCGTCTAGCTGCCACAGGGGAAGTTTCTCAGGCGTGTATGGATGTCCCTCGGCAGCCATATGAGAGTATCGTGGAAGGAAGCATATCAAGGGATAAAGATCCTCGTAATAGATACCTTGCTCCCCTCGAAGGAAGTGCTGGAAGGAGTGGTCAGCATTGAGACCTTTCCTCGACTTTTTGAACTCGTACTTTTGCTGAAACAGAAAACGCTTGAATCTGGCGATCCCCTTTATAAATCAGCTTGTTGAGGTTTGGACCTTGACGACTCACGAGATTAATCATGCTCTTCTTCTCGATGATACTTTGAACGACTGTTTGCTTCTGCTGCAAACCTTTGTTTTCCCGATCGTTTGGGACGTGAAGCCAAACCTGCGTAAAATGGCGATAAGAATACGTCGATATGTACCTAGAAGTAAAGTACGAGTTGCGCCAGCGTTCGAGATGCGGTTGCGATGTTGGTCCACATTTTCCTGCCATCTTGATATCTAGAACGGGAATTAGCGGCGTTGAAAACACGACAATGGTCAACGATACCTCTCGTATGCTGAAGATGTTCTGAATGAAATAACCAAACCAAGAACCGTACCCAGTACAGTCAAAAGCTGATTGTTGATCCCAAGATGATGCTCAGTTTTTTTTGAAACTAAGCAGACCACTAGACAACAACTGTCAGCACGATAGAAAGGCGAATGAGGGGGGTAGGCTTACTGGATGCAACCAAAGAGAAGAAAGCGACCTCTGGCCATACATCGTTGATGATGGTAGCGTTAAACCTCTTCAACGTCCATGTCCCTCGGAAAAAAGGACTTGCCGCAACCATAACAGCCTATATTGCAGAAAAAGAAAGAGACAGAGGTTCAACGAGTGCAGAGTGATAACAAAAGAGCATGGAGGAAGCGTGGGATACAGATGCGTTCTCAAAGACGCCCTGTGATGACAGTGTTCCGTGAAGGCCGAGCTACCGCCGGTCACCCGAACAGTGCCCCAGAAATGTGGACCGCGTTTGCTCACATTTGCTGGTCGAAGCTTCTTGTAGATGCACTATGCAGGCCCCGGCCTACTTTGGGTATACTATGGCTATGGTAAGTGCGTTCTTTATACCAAGAACTGGATGCGTACTTGTTTTCCAAAAAGGCAATTGTACATAACTCGGAGGTCAAGCCACCGCTGGCTAAAACAGCGCTCATGAGCACATTTGATTGGCGCTTGGAAGTCATTTATCTGCCTCGCCTTTGCAACACCAGTCGTTGGATTTGAAGAGGTGCGTGTTCGTCGGGATGCAAGCTAGACGCAAGATCTTATGTTTTGAAGGTCCTTTAGCAAGTTGTGACAGCGTTACCATACGTGTCACTGAATCATGACAGTCGTGACTGTGTTTGGCACACTCATCCTTTCATAATAACGTTATCACCCTTCAACTCAGATCCGAGATGTCCATCAAACGGGGCAGATCCTCCTACCAGCAGATCTCCAAACCTGTTACACAGAAATGCTCTTGTATCTCAAGATATTTCCAGCAAATTTAATGTTTTTTTTTTTTTGGTCATGACACTGTCAGATCACTTACAAATTGCTCATCTGTTGTCAGGCTGCAACACCTTACACAGAGTCCAGACATCCAAATTCATGTTGAATGCAGCAAGTAACACACTTAGACACTTTCATGCTAATTAGTGCTTGGAAGTCCAGTCTCAAGACTGAAAAAAGACTGAGACTGGACTGAACCAAGACTGCCCAAGACCGGAAATTCCCAGGACTGTCAAAGACCACAACCATGGTTCAGTCTTCGGTCTCTCACGATTTCGGAAATTTGAAGACTGTGAAGACTGACAAAAAACCGGTCTAACCAGTCTCAACCGGAACTCGTAACCAAACACAAACACAAAACACAAACACAACTCGTAACCAAACACAACTTTCCTCCTCCTACCACCACCCTCCCTGTTACCATCACCACCCTTCATGATGACCACTTTGCATTGTGAGCACCAGCGATGGGCTAAACGACCTGTATGCTCACACATCGACTGCCACCTCACACGCTGGAGGCTCAGCAACGACACCCATGGCCATGGTGCGCCACATCATCCTCCACAACGACGCCCCCCCCCTGCCAGACATCACCTACGGCTGCCACCACCCACACCACCAACCACAATGGCAACAACAAACACCCGCCATGCACAACTGTCGTCAACTCTCACACCCACCTCACACCAACCACAACAACAACAACGAGCGCCTGCTATGTCGACAGCACATGGAGAAGACCTCCCTCGCCCTCTGCCGCCTTTGGGAATGACAAGCACATGACAACGGCCACGCAATGACGATGGAGATAGGTGGATGACGATGACATGACGTGGCAGCAACGACGGATGATGGAGGACAATGCAAAGAACGGTGACAGCTGACAACAGACAGCAACAAGGAAGTGCAAGTGCTCCCCCCCACCCCCCTCACGTAGTACTACAGTGTATTTAGTCAATTATATACATGTTCTCCCTATGTCAGTAGCTCCGAGACTGGTTGAAGACCAGTTGTCAACCAGTTCAGACTGAAACTGGTTGAGACCGGTCTTTCAACTGTAAAAAACTGACCAAAACCACACTGAACTGGTTGATGTTGGTTCAGTCCAGTTTTTCGTGGTTCTTCAACCTGTGAGGACCAGTCCCAGTCCCAGTCTTGTCAAAATTTGACAAAAGACCAGACTTCCAAGCACTAATGCTAATTTAGTTTTATCCAGGTAGATTGGCTCAGAGATAGAAGACTACTATCACAGTTGGTAATTGCAGCCCACTGTCAAACAAGTTCCCTCCAATTGCAAATCCTTGGAAGGCTAAAATTAATGGCTTAAAGTGATTTGCATAGTCTATTTACATACATTTCCTTAGTGCCAATCTGCACTGTAAATGCTTCCAGAATAGTGTCTTTTTGATGGTCATTTACCCCCCAATCACTATACTCCAAACTCTAGAAGATGAGATCTCTGCTTGAGTCTCCCAAGCAGGGGAATTGTCATGCATTCACTCTCAAAATCTATTTTGACAACTCCTGCTTGCCTGAAATATTCAAAATGTCCTTGGTGTTGGTATTAAGTATACAGTGTCTATTAGTGTTCGAAAGTCCAGTTAGGTCCAGTTATTGGGTGCCCAGGGGCTCTAACTGAGACTGAGACTGGTTAGCCTTTGTCCCGAAACCTAAAATAACCTAACCAGACCGCAACTAACCGGTTACGGTCAGTTATTTGCAGTTACAAACCGGTTAGGACTGAAAAATAAAGAATCAGTTATAACAAGGCAAATATGCTCATATGTATCTTGATAGATATTATTTCTGCATATCCTAGCTTTAAAACGAGCCCAAGCACACTAAAATCGGTGAAGAATTGACATATTTATGCAATTATCCTTGAAAGTCTACACATTTGAGTGATATTTTAGAGATTTGACTGTAACTTAGTCAAATTTTAAGCGTTTTCGACGTTCTCAAGTGCGTTTTGAAGGTGTATAATAGGGCTGGTTATAACCGGTTAGTTAACTGCAAAATAACCAGTTATTCCATTTTCGAAATCAACTAACCCTAACCGTGGTTAGGATAGTGTTGTGGTTAGGTCCGGTTATTTTCCAGTTATTTTCCGGTTAACTAACCTAACTTTCAAACACTAGTGTCTATGGAAGAAAACTGGGATGGAAAGTGTTCCTGGTGGCCAAAGCTTCATACCACTATCCAAAATTTCACTCTTGGCATCTCACATTTTGTACATTTCATGAATCCTATAAATTCTGCAAGTAGTATTCTACATACTAACTAAACATACATAGATTTCTTTGAAAGAGCAGAAGCAAAGGGATGATACAAGAAGTGAAATCTACATATCTATGATATCCTCATCCATCTGCACATCCTGACCACATATATATAGTAGTGGTATAAACACTTGTACAGTTGAGTGCAAAAAGAATGAAGGTTGGTTCATTTTTCTGGTTCTTTCTAAGAATCTATTGTACCTCAAATGTATTTGTGTATTCTTTTACATTATGTGGTTGTGTTACACTTCCCTTGGTATGGACTAATTTCAGTGAAAGCTGGAGCCTTGAGAAGGTTTTTATTCTGGAGGCCATTTTTGGCATCTGAAAAAAAAAAATATGCGCTAAATGGAGAGGTAGCCAGAACATACCTCTGGTCAACCTGAATGAGCCTATCAAAGAATCAGTCAAAAATACTGAGCAGTTAGGTCTGTAGAGGCTTTGGAAAATGGGCTGTTTTGTCTAAAACAGGCCATAAATGACCAAAATAGCACAAAATGACCATTTTCTGGAGGCTCTACAAGAATAACTGCTCCGT